ATTACATATATATATATATATAGAAAGTGCTTGTGAGCCTTATCTTTTAAAGATTTTAAAGATTAGGAAGAAAATCATCTTAAAACTACGTCGTTTCAATAAATTTTTATTAAAAAAGACTAAACTATCATATTTTTAAAGCATGCATTAAAGTGATTTTTATCTTTTTTTCTTCTAATTTTTTGGAGGAAAAGCGGATAAACAATAACTCCTATATATGTTATCACAACACATTTGAGCAAAATCACAAACTTAATCACAATATTCATCGGAAGAAAAAAGAACAAAAAAAACTTGATAACAATTCAAATCTCAAAAACTCTAAAAATGTGTCAATCCTTACTGTCATGTTTGAGTGTATGTATCGAAAAATTCTTCTATATATTAGAGATATTATGTTTGTGGTATTTTCCTTCCATGAATATTGTTATATGTCAACATGTATTGGTCCTTACAATTTAATAGGGATAATGATATATGTACAATTTTTTTTTATAAATTTTTATATATTATTAAATAAATATATAATATTTTAAATTTTAATAATAATTTATAATTATGTCCATAATTCAAATAAATAAGTAGTTATCTTTTTTTTGTTAAAAATAAAGAATTTTAATTTTGAGTTCGCATGACATAAATATGGAGTGAGATAAGAATTGAAAAATAATTATTTTTCATTGTATAATTAAAATAAATAAATAATAATAATAATAAATTGTAATAACATATTTTCAATTATAAGTAAAGGTCACACAGAAACTAAGGTCATGCTACGTTAGGGAACTGGAACACTGCAAACATGAAATCTCATTGTATGGAGTAATTTCTCATACGGTATATGTATCACTTTCGTCAAAAAAATATACTCTGAAGCAATGCAAATTATTGCCTGGTTCATCCTCTGAAGTCTGAAGCAGAAAATTACACCGGTTGGTAACAATATTTCCATTTATGAAAAATATTTTTAAAATTTGAATATTTTCCTTTATTACTGTAACAGAAAGTGGCATGGGAAACGAGGAATTCTGCCGCTACCACTGTTCCACACACCTATTTATCTGTTATTGCTCTTTCTGTTTGCATCAACTCTGCTACATTGACAGACCCATTTTTGTGAAAAATCAGATAAACAGTACTGCATGATATTCAACCTTTTCTCTCTCTGTAAAAAAAAAATTTATTTTCCATCCAGCACAGCAGGGTAAGGGTGTCTCCATTTCTCTGCATTTTCTTCCTCCGGTCTTGTAGTGATCCTTTCTTTATTTTTCCTTGTGGGTTCTTCCATCCTGTATTGCACTGACTACTTCAAAGGTGGGTTTTTCAGTTTTTTCTTAACATGCAACGCACCTTACTTGCTGTTTAAATGCACATACTTGCACACACATCAAGTTTTTGTTTTTATTTATATATGATATATTGTTTGTTTTGTTTATGGCATTGTTTGTTTTTTTGTTTGATATGGTTATCCATCTCCTTTGGTCTACTATGAAGCAGAGCTTCTTTCTTCATTGGGTTATGAGGGACTATTTTGTTTGGCTATCTTTTTTGTTTCAATCCAGTCTAGTGATGCCAATCACCTGGTGGCCTAATTGTCCACTCTTTTTGTGAGGTGTGATGGCGCTTACAAGTCTTGCGTTCAAACCTTGGCATCCCACTCCCTCATTCAAAATTGCCTTTGTTAATCCTTCCAGTGATACTTTATTTGTTTCTTTAACCTTTTTGCCCTAGGAAAACACTTTCTGAGTTTTTGATTGATGATTGTAATGCAACATTGTGATTCTGATTTTGGGTTTGCTAGTTAACCCTATAAAGCAGCTAGTACATTGGATAGATGGTTTGATTTTTTGAATAAAATAAGCAAAAGGACGGTTAGATGTTAAACATGTTTTCTCATACTAAAACTGTTGTTGATTATGCTAATATAGGGGGTTTTGTGGGTTTTCTATACGCAGCAGCTTTTGGTGATTGATTATGTTTAGCACTGTCTGATCATTTGGAGTTATAATTTACTTTATCTGTTCTTATTAGATATGTCAAAATGCAACCTTGAAATGTTATACTTTTACTAGTTTATTGTTGTAACGCATTTTTTTCTACATCAGTTTCTGTTCAGAGATGGGTACTGTTGGTGATAATTGGGATGATGAATATTCTGTCATTGGAGATAAGGGTGAAGTTGGTTTTATTGATTATGAAGATGATAAATCTGTGCGTGATTACAACCCAACTGAAGAGGGTCCTCTTGTTGTTTCTGTACCATTCCCTTTTGTTAATGGGAAACCTCAATCAATATTAGTTGGAGAAACTGCAGCAGATTCAATTACCCTAACAAACACCACTGATGAACCAATGGATCTGTGGACTAGAATTTATGCTTCAACTCCTGAGAATTCTTTCACACTTTCTTTGATCAGACCGCCAACAGCAAATTCTGAGGGGAATACAAACCGAGGTTTTGTTGAATCCTTTACATTAGAGGACAGGATGCTCCAGCCAGGAGATACACTAACTATTTGGTTGTCTTGCAAGCCTCAAGGAATTGGATTGCACACAACTATAGTACATTTTGATGTGGGGGCTGATAGGATTGAAAGAGTTGTTTTTGTTGTTGCTGATGATAACATCTCACAATATTTGGCTCCTCAAAAGGCATATTCAAGAGGAATGAAGAAGAAGAAGCAATTTATCGTGGATAAATTTGTTGAGGGATCTCGGCCAGCACAGGGAAGAAATCAAGGGTTCAAAAACAAGCTTCCTTGGTATGGCATTCCAAAAGATATTAGGGAATTGGTTGAGAGCAAGCAGATTCCAGATGCTGTTAGGGAAGGTTTAACAAGGAGGAACTATACATCATACTTCAAAACTTTATTGAACATGGAAGAGATACAATTAGAGGTACTTTCCCTCGTGTATGAACTATGAAGATTCATAAATTTCTTTATGATGATATATTTATTGATTTTCTGCTGAAATTGGTAATTTTGTTGCCTCAGGAAGACATGAGAACTTATGACATGGGCAAGGTTACAATGAGGAAGAAAGGAAAGTTTTTATCTCTTCAGGTCCCTGGGCTTGCTGAAAGAAGGCCTTCACTTGTCCATGGAGATTACATCTTTGCTAAGCATGCATTTGAAGATGCAAGTGAAACATCTTCACCTTACCAGGTTTGTCCTAACCAAATAAGCATTTTGCCATTATATTGAAGCATTTCAACCATATTAACCAAACTAGGGATTTGTTTAGATAAACTAGAGCAGTTTTGTTATGGTTGATATCATATTTTCTGATTTGCTGTGGAATCATCATTAACTATCATTTTACATTCCTATACACTGGTTAACTGGGAATTTGGAAGGACGGGCAGTTGCTGGGTTTTGGCTGGAGAACACCAGTGCACTACCTCACCAGTTTGCCTTCTTACTTGCCTTATTTTTCCAGTCCACTTTTGCTTACTCTTTTCCCCTTTTGCTGGAGCAATATGTACTGTAATATTGAAGTAATTTCAGTAATGGAAATTAGATTATTCAATGAAGTTAATTTTAGCTCTTATGCAATAAATATTTGAGAATATTTCTGCTGTTCCTAGATATGTTTGACTTTTTCCCTATTTTAGTAGGTGTCTATGTAAATAGTTGGTTAGATTACTTATCTCACTCTAAAAGTCAAGGACCAAGAGATTGATAGGAAAAAAGGCCAAGATCCACTTCTGGTTTTGTTGATGAATGATGATGGCTTGACATGATATGACTCCTAAGCAACAAATGAACCTTTAACACTTCATATTTTATAATGCCATTCGTTTGCATCCTTATTCATCTTAATGCCGTTTTTCTCCTACCACCTGCTTTTTGTCTCTGCTATTTTTTTTTAATTTTTTTTTTAATTATTGTTATAATCCTCTGGTTTTTAGACCATAATGGAATGAGGTTCTGTGCAGGGTTATATTCACCGTGTGGAGGCTGATGAAGTGTATTTGAAATTTGCCTCAGAATTTCATTTGCGCCATAGAGATGAAAATCTTTATAATGTACAGTTCACATATAACCGAATCAATATGAGAAGGCAATACCAGGCCATTGAAGCAGCAGAAAGGTTAGACCTAGATTTCTTTTTCCCGTCTGAATCCCCTAAAAGTAGGCTGATTGAAACCACTCCTCTAGTGCCCATCTCATGCAAGCTTAATGAGGAGCAGATGTGTTCTATTGAGCTGATCCTTGGCTGTAAAGGAGGACCCCCTTATGTCATCTATGGGCCCCCAGGTACTGGAAAGACCATGACAATTGTGGAAGCAATTCTCCAACTCTACATGACTAGAAAACATGGTCGGATTCTTGTTTGTGCTCCTTCAAATAGTGCAGCAGATAACATACTAGAAAAACTCCTAAATGAGAAGGCAGTGCAACTCAAAGAAAATGAAATATTCAGGCTCAATGCAGCAACGCGCTCATATGAGGAAGTCAACCCTGATCATATCCGCTTTTGCTTCTTTGACGAGCTTGTCTTCAAATGTCCCCCACTTAATGCTCTCTCTTGCTATAAGATCATCATATCAACTTATATGAGTGCATCTCTTCTTTATGCTGAAGGCATCAAGCGCGGTCATTTCTCTCACGTCTTTTTAGATGAGGCTGGTCAAGCCTCAGAACCAGAGAGCTTAATCCCCCTTGCTAACCTTTGTAGAAGGGACACAGTTGCTGTACTTGCTGGAGACCCAATGCAATTAGGTCCCGTGATATACTCCAAAGAAGCAAGTCATGGACTAGGGAAATCATACTTGGAAAGGCTAGTTGAGTTTGAATCCTATTTCAATGGGAATGAAAATTATGTCACAAAACTGGTTAGAAACTACCGGTGTCACCCAGAGATTCTTCATCTCCCTTCAACCCTTTTCTATAATGGGGAGCTGATCCCATGTAAAGAGGAGACAAGTTTCTTCTTGAATTCAGTGAACTTCCTCCCGAATAAGCAGTTTCCTGTTTTCTTCTTTGGCATTCAAGGTTGTGATGAGAGGGAAGGAAATAATCCATCATGGTTCAATCGGATTGAAGCAAGTAAGGTGGTAGAGTTCACAAGGAGTTTGACAGCAAGTGGAAATCTGACTGAGGAAGATATTGGCGTCATAACACCATACAGGCAACAAGTCCTCAAAATAAAGAAAGCCTTTGAAAGTCTTGAAATGTTTGACATCAAGGTTGGAAGTGTTGAACAGTTTCAAGGACAAGAAAGAAGAGTTATAATCATCTCTACTGTCCGATCAACAATCAAGCATAATGACTTTGACAGTAACTATTGTTTGGGATTTTTGAGCAATCCAAGAAGGTTTAACGTTTCTATTACCCGTGCAATATCATTGCTTGTTATTGTTGGGAACCCGCACATACTTGTCAAGGTATTGCCTTTGCAATTTCAAGCCATCATTTAGACTGAACTTCAAGTAACTAGATAACAAATGGATATGTTGCTAGGACTAGAAAACTGATGATGTTTCCCATTTTGGTCTTCAGTAGTCATTTGTGATGCAGCATATAATGTAGATATCTTGGACATGATTTCTTTAGGAACTTGCCTAGCTCTGGATTGCTTGCTCAAGGAAACATGCACTTTGTAGTTATTTCTTGTTTTTATTGTTTAGTTGCTAAACTTCATACCTGCATCTCATCTGATATTCAATTGTTACTAGATGGCATAGAAATATTTTGGGCATTGTATACCTGCATCCCATCTGATATTCAATTGTTACTGGATGACAGGATGATCACTGGAGCAAGCTCTTATGGCATTGTTCTGACAACAGCTCTTATCAGGGCTGTGATCTCCCTCAACGACAGGAGTCTATTGATGATTTTCCAGCACAGGAAGGCCATGTGAACCCTGAAGAAAACGTCACTCAATGTGCTACAGATGCCAACAATCTCCCTCAGGGACAGGAGTGCATTGATGATTTTCAAACATGGGAAGGCTATGTGAACCCTGAAGAAAACATCATTCAATCTACTACAGATGCTAAATGGGATCAAGACTCATTTCCGAGAGACATACTTAACCCTGTTACAAGTAAATTTGAGTGGCCTGAAGATGATGGGTGGAATTGAAGCATTACTGGGACAACATCCCCTCGCTTCTCCATACCCCTTCTACTCTTCTGCCTTCTTGGCCCTCTGACTATCTTGGCTTAGCTATTTTCTGCCTTTCTTGAACCTTTGACTATCTTGGATTGCCTTTTTTTGAGAATAACTTTGATGAATGATTTACCATGCAGTTGAAACTTTAAACTTGAATGCTATTTTAATGAGTGGCAAAAGATAGATCTTCTACGTGATTCTTCTATCCAACTGAAGCATGTGAATTATTCAAATTTACTGATTACAATTATGTTGTGTTCAACCAATGTACCAAATGAAGGGTAAAATCTACATTATTATGGGACTACATATGAATGTAGCTAAAGAAAACCAGTACTGAACCTAGATACCAAACATTACTGTTGATCTGTGACAATGCAAATGAAACTCTATCTGATTCCCCTGCTGGCATCAGTTTTGGTAGTCCCCTTGTGGAGTTTGGTTGCGAGCTCATGGGACTTGGTACCTTGGTAGAGGCTGGAGTGGAAGCATTATCCCCACCTGCATGATCATTCCCTAATTAGTCTCCAGGAATGTAACCTTCTGTCTGATGTTGATGCTTCTAAGTTCTAACCTTACAGGAATGAAATCAGAGAAAGGAATTGCTTACGGGAATATGAAGGTTGCGGGCTCTCTGGATTGCTATCTCCAAGAAGAGGTGGTAGCTCTTGTGCTCCTGATGCACAACAAATTCACATAACGTGGTTATCTATTTTGCTAACAAAGATCAGCACTCCTGAAAACAGGGCAAAATCCATGCTGTTGAATGCAGAATAATTCAGGAGCTGAATAAAGATCAACGCAGAAATCTCTAGTAGGTAGACATTGCAGCTCTGTAGTCATCCAATCTACGACAATCAAATCTAATTATGCGGGAAGGCATGATTTCAGATCCGAATATTTGATTAAAGCTCAGAAAAGGTTAACAACCGCGAACTATTAATCAGAGATTGTTCAGATCTACAGAAGCCAAAACTGAATTCGAGAAATTTCAGCGAAGCAGAAAATCGATCAATTCGATGAACAATAACTTGGATAGAATAAGAATCGATCAAAACCTGAGGCGCAAACCGACTCCAGGGAATCATCGGTCCTTGCCAAGCAGACTGACGGTAGTGAAATGACTCTGGAATCATTCAACGGGAAGCCGAAGATCATCGGCTGCCTGAGAAGGTAACAGAAGCAGTAATCGTTGGTGGAGTTGAAAACAGAGGATATCACATCGCAGCACTGAAGAGGCACGGTGGCGGTGAAGTTGTTCGGCGGCGCGGACACGAAAGGAAGGCAAGGCGAGAACGCCACCAGCTCCGCCACGCAGTCTAGATGCGGCGGTGGCACAGCTGCGGCAAGTAGGTTCGATATGAGGAGAGCTGTGAGAGCGGTGGCGAGAATCATGGCTGAGTGGCGGATTTGAGAGAAAACGAAATTGTTAATTTGTTTGGTGGTTTGTTACGGTGGGGCCTAAAGGATGAGTTTGGGCGGGAAAGCAGTTAAGACCCTGTCCCCTTTTTTCTTTTTTTTTCTCATTTTTTTAATGATTGAGAGAAAAAATTGCCTTATGCTTTTGTGTTGTTTTATTTTTATGATTTAAATTTGGTTTGATAATGTTGTTTGTAATTGTAGTTATAGGTTTTTTAATTTTTTAACATTTTAAAAATATATAAAATATATATTATATATTTAATATTTATTTTAATTAATATTTTATATATTTTTAAAACAATAAAAAGGCATAAAAATCAAAAAGAAAAATATTGACAAGTGTTATCAAAACGAAACTTTAAAATCTTTCAGCATCTTAGTAAATTCCCTCCCACTGCTTTTTATGTTTTTTTAAATAATTGAAGTGTTTTGGAGTTTTGTTTATTTTTCTCAATTTGATAAAAAAACAAACCATTCATTTATTAAATAGGGTGGTGTTATAGGAATAATCTTTTTATATTACTTTTTACTACAATTTTTATATGTAATTAAATGAATTATTATGTGTCCTACATGCATAAAAAAACTAATTATTTAAATGACAGTTTACCAAAAGTTAATATAAAAAAATATTTTAAAATTATTTTTCATTATAATATTAAAATTTTATAAAAAAAATTATTTCTTATTAACTTTTTTTAAAGAATTAAAACTATATCAATAAAGTGAGTAGCAAATTTTCTAAGTAGTTGAGCCACAACTCCTCTGTAATAGCTAGCTGTGTGAAACTGTGAACATTTGGACGTTCAATTTGCAATTTTCTTCATTGTGGGTATTTCAATATTTGATTTTATTTGTTTCTGTAAATATTCCTCTCAGCCATATCAATGAGTTCCAGTAAATTTGCATTAAGCCACACAAGATGTTGGAAATGAAAATTATTTAGAGACACTGAAACACAAGCCAAAATCAGAATAATCAATTTTTTTTTTTGATATATTGATGATTTCACATATATAATCTGTAAAAGAAAAACAAAAATGACTAACCTAGTAAGATAGTGCCATGGAGAAGAATAACCAAGGGGAATAAGAATCTCCAGCCAATCATCAACACTTTGGTTTCCTCTCCCCCATTTGATGTCCCATAACCCCCTCCAAACAATGTCCCATAGCCCCCTCCAAACAAATCCAATTTGGGTTCTGCATTTTCAGCTGAACATGGCTGCTTCTGCACTGCTGTAGAGTTACTCTCCCCAGTTGTGTCCAAAGGACTCTGTATCATCTGATCCTCAGCCGGAGGCAAAAGTGGAGAAGGAAACACTGCAGCCAGAGGTGTTACAGGATGCTGCGTGAGGTTACCTGGACTAGATAAAGAACTCTGCATCTGATCATCAGCCGGGGGCAAAGGCGGTGCAGGCTGCTCCGTAGGGTCACCGGGATTAGATAAAGAACTCTGCATTTGATCATCAGCCGGGGTCAAAGGCGGGGCAGGATGCTGGTTTCCGGACCTAACTGGGGGAATCACCACCGGCGTAGGAGCCAGAACTTCATATAATTAACAAGGAACAAAATAAGCCATTGTCAGACAAACAGGTTGAAATCAATATGATTAAAAAGAGGGTGCTAAAATCCAGAGTTACCTTACCTCGACAAAGGCTCAAAGGGGGAAGAGAAATGTAACAGTTTGGTAATGGGAGTGAAATTGGGGTGGTGGAAAGAGGAAGAGATGAGACTAATAGTGAACACATGCAGCTAAATCCGGTATGGATGACTTGATTAAGTGCATTGCAGCAGGCATCAGGACGATAACCATTGCCTTGGAAACACGGCCCTAGTTCAATGTTTTGCATGGAGCAGACTTGGATTTGGCTGTGGACTGAAGGGACTAGAGCAAAGAGCAGGATTGCCAACAGCCAGGTGAACCAGATTGAAACAAGTATGCTTGGACCCATGATTGTAGAAACAATAAAATGGAAATTTTGTGTTTGTAAAATTAGAAACAGAGCATCTTAATTGATTTTTCATCAAAATTATAGTGATTTAGGGGGTGATTTGGTATAATGGAGATGGGTCATACAGTATGTGAGGAGCAAGTTGGTAAGTCAAACAGTGTAGGAGGCTTTAACTTGATGACTTGGGGCATGAATGAGGCATGAGAGGGATTTTTTCTCTGAGCCAAAGGCATGAGGGGGATGATGTTGACGGAGTGAGTCGATCCTACACTTATCAAGAGACTTCTTATGAGAAATATGAATATATGATATCAGTGGAGAATATGGGCCAGATTCTTGCATTCATTTTCTTGTTGGATCTGATCCAGTTTTACTTTCATTTGCTTAATTTCTTCTGGGGCAGTGCCATTAACATTCACTCATGGATATATGGCCAGTGCAACAAGAAGCCCATTTCAGAACATTTCTTCTTCCCCCTTTTTTTTTTTTTTTTTCCTTGGGTTTATACATTTCATTCTTCTTCTTCTTTTTCACTGTTTCCTGCTAAGAAATATACCAATCACATTTTTTTGTTGACTTCCATGATAGGTTAAACAATAGGCAATGTATAGTTTTCTGTTGATGGGATAAATAATAGGAAATAGTTATTATGTAGTCAATTTGATGTTGGGTTATATCAATGAGGTATTTTAAGTGATTAAAAGATTTTGACTTTAAGTTGAAGATTTTAACTTTAAGTTAAAGATTTTAAATTTAAATTTTGATATTAATAAAAAAAATTAAAAAAATAAGAAAATTGTTTCCTATTACGTAGTCCATAATTTTATGTAAAAAATATTCTTTATAACTCATACAATGTATATTGTAGCATAAAAAGAAACTGTGTAAAATAAAAGGGGAAAAACCGAAAAAGCATGTCACCAGGGGCCAAAATAATATTTGAGACATCTTAAAAAATGGAAAAGCACATAGAAAGAAATAGGGATGCAGCAATAGCAGCTGCCGTCTAGTGGTAGTAATTAAGAACCACAAATCCCACGGCAACCAGAAGAAGAGATGGTGAAAGATTGTAAGAAGGCACTGCAGCCGACGGGGTCAGAACAGGGCGACTCCCTGTAGTTGCTGTAGGAGCTGCGGAACCCTCTGTTGACGGAGGAGTCAAAAATGGTGTTGTGTCGGATACAGGGGCCTCAGCAGATGGCGTTGGCTCAGGTACAACAGAAGCTGCTCAAGAAAACAAAGTTTTTCTAATTAAGTTAAAGTTTATGGCTTTGAACTGTTCTTTTCTAGCAGATATATCAATTTACCTCCTGGTGAAGCTACAGGAGAAAGTGTTGGTGCTAGTGAAATTGGACCTGTACGCCAATAATAATTGTAACCAATAAGCATAAATTCAATAAATTAGCTTCACAAAAAGATAGAATTTATCCCCAATTTTGGTATTTTTACAAGAAATTACCTGGAGCTGGAATAGGAGCAACAGAGGCTGAAAATGAAGAAAGGTTACATGTTAGTGTTTTCAAAAAGAGTGTTGTGTTAAGATTGTATAACTTAAATTATTGGATTTGTTAGTTGTTTTTCTTATATTCAATGGTTCCTGTTTTACAGTTTAGACTACAAAATAGAATTATCTAGTGTTTTGATTAATAAAAATGTGATTTTGTATTTGTTTGCATATGCACATGTAAATGTTTTGTTTACCTTTGCATTGGACGGGGACACCGGGCATGTTACAAGAGCGAGGGAGAGAGACAGCGAGAGTCCGGTTAATCGGAATTTGGAATGGGACATTTGCGGTCACAATGAGGCACAAACAGTCCATGCCACTGCTTGTGAGGGACTTGAAAGAGTTGCAGCAGTCCGAGGTTGGGGAAGTACCATTGGCACTACTATTGGTAAGGAAATTCATACATGGAGTGAAGCTGGTGAGCATGGAGGCGGTGCAAGGGGTATTCAGTTGCCCGTAGACAGGGAAGATAGAGATTGTCAGAGCCACACCCAAAATCAGAAATGGAATGGAGAAGGTGGAGAATGCCATTGTCTTGGGTAAAAATGAATTTGATTTGGTGAAGAGGAAGAGGTTGTATTGGAGGTTTTTGAGTTTGATGATTGAAAAGAGGAGGGAAGTGGGGGAATTTATAGGGGAAAGTTTTTGGTGAAGGGGAAGTGGAGGGGATTTTGAAGTTGGTTTGGAGCTCAACCACCTTAACCAATTCTTAGGGGAAATTGAACAACTTGAGTTAGCCACGTATGAATGGTGTAGGGTATCGTAGGTTGACTTGAACCTATCCTGAAGAAGTGGCACTCTATTATTTCGCCAGCTTTTTTTATTTTTTATTTTATTAACTTTCTTATATCTGGTATCCACGTTTTGTTTGATTAATTTAGAATCGAGTCGTATCGGATCCTATTAGAGGGAAGCTTTCCCAACACTTATTTCCTCATTTATAAGACTCGAACTCGAGACCTTATTTAAGAGAATTGAACTCTTTTTACTCGGACAAACAAGTGATTAGTTTTCATCAACTTGTTGAAAAATTATGTGTTCATTTTTCCGACCGGAAACCATGGATTATTCTCTTTGCAAGTTATAATCGAATTTTAAAGGATTTTGTCCATAATCTTGGTTATCTTGACCAAAAAAAACCTATTATTAAGCAAGTTGGTATTAATTTATTGGTCCTTCAACTTTAGACCTACTTCAATTTAGATCCCTCAAATCTAGTTGTAGACCACCAAAGATTTTTATTTTATTTTATTTTATATAGATAATTTGATCACTCAAGTTTATTATGATAATGGAACACAGTCTCAAATTATTGTAGGGATATGACTTTTTAATTTTGATTTTAACTTAGGTAATATCACGAATATGCTTGAACATTCTATAATCCAATTTGCTTTTAATATGATTATATCAATATTAAGAAGTTTATAAAGTATTTAGGCCTCTCAACTTCTAAAACCAATAGCTGGATTATCGGATATGGAGCACCTTTTTGACAAATGACAACCCAAAAAATTGACTTTACTAGACCAACATCGTTTTCATGTGAACTTTAACACAAACCTTCAACAAATAGCAATGACTTAAAATAGGAGGTGAAATTTTGGATCCTCCTTACCCAGGCATTATTTTCACCAGATAAAAGATACCTTCAACCATAGAGGGCATATACTGTACTTCCTGGTACATCCTCTACTTTGCAATTGCCAAAAATAACTTCTTTTCTGTTTCAGAAAAACCTCAAACTTCTAATTTCCATTAAAGATGACCTTAAATTTGTAGTTAGGTTACCTGATTGTTGTTTATCCTCAATATGATCTGATGTCACTTACAATTTTTAGCTGTTTTTTTCTGCAAACATACATGAATCCTGACATAATTTTGTAAATTCCTAGCTAGAGATCCTTCCAAAAGCTTCCCAAAATGACACATGTTACCTTATGTTTTATTTTTAGCAAAACCTTACATCAGATTGTATGTTCTAGTTCACCAATATCCTGTCATTCTAAGGTTTATATATTAAGTCATTCCCTTAGAAAGCAACTCAAGCAAAATTTACTGTATACAAAGATTAAATACTGAACCTGTGACTCTTCTCACCAAAATGACTTCAAGAGGGCTAACCATGGGACTCCTCATGGCCCTGGTGGCCCTGCTTTGTGCAAGAACCATGGCTCAATCTGGTACTTCTGGCTGCACTAATGTCATCGTCAGCCTGGCTCCATGCCTGAATTATGTGTCGGGGACCTCCTCGACTCCATCATCTTCATGCTGCACGCAACTAGCGAGTGTAGTTAAATCACAGCCTGCTTGCCTTTGCTCAGTGCTCAATGGTGGGGCTTCATCACTCGGTGTTACAATCAACCAGACTCTGGCTCTGGCCCTCCCTGCTGCTTGCAATGTACAAACTCCTCCTGTTAGTGACTGCAATGGTAAGAACTAATTGTTAATGTGTACAAATTTCCATTAAAAAAAAAAAAAAGAAGTTACATTTTGTGTTGCATTGTACTAATTATTTATTGGTTTATATTTTTGGGTAGCTGTTGATGCACCAGTTGGTTCTCCTCAAGGTATGCCAGCTGAACAAACTCAGAGTAGCTCATTTGTTACTGGTACATGATATCATTGATTCTACAATGTCAACCATGTCATCTTATCATTTCAAAATTTTGCTCTACATTCATATGTTAAGCAATCTCAAACGCAGTCTAGTCTAATATAAATAATGCGACCAAAAAAAGAAATGGAAATGTGCACTGCAAAATTGGAGGCAGTTTGTGGTAACAACTTGTGGGAATGAATGCAGGATCAAAAACAACACCATCCACTGGAGGAAGCTCCGCTGGAAACAACATCAAATCGTCTCTTCAGCTCGTCCTCTTCTTCCTGCTTGCAGCATCCTATGTTGTGACCTCCGGGAAACTCTGATCACTATCTTCTGGGGATGCCTATGTGTTTGTGTTGCTATTTAAGATTCTATATTATATGCCAGTGTGTTGTTCTAGTATTATGTCTTCTGTTTTACTAAGTGTGTCTGGTTTGCATTTCTCTTTTGATTTATGAAGTCTCTATGGTTTGCTTAATATATGTACGAGTGATTTCTCAAACTATGACTGGTTTTCCCCTTGTGCTACTTCGTACTGTAAGAGGTTTGGCTATATAAGATAAGGAAATAAATCTTTACTTCTTGTTTATACGATCATCAAACAAATTAAAGCTAAACTTAGATATTTGAGATAAAATAACATGTTTCATCCCATTCTGATGATTCCTCCTCTAATCCAAGCGTCAAATTAAAGAAATTTTTTGTCATGAGAACACTACTTAATAAGAGATAAGCATAAAAATTTTAGTTTTTTTGAAAGTGTTCATATCCTGATATCCGTATTTATTATTAAAAATACAAAATATTAATTAAAATTAATTTAATTATAATAAAGATTGAGAAAAGTTAATTCATAACAATTAAAATGTTAAAAATGATCATAAAAAAATTTAAATAAATTTAATAAATTAACACATTAAAAAAATTATTAAAAATATTTAAATAATTTTACAATAATTTTAAACATTTTAAATATTAATGTCTTTATTTTTTTTTTTTAAATATATTTAAAAGGGACGGGATCGAGCCTAAGCCCAAGAGGGAGAAGGGAGTATACTTTTTTTAATGTGACTAATACCGCTAACCGAAGGGGCCAAGTAATATGTCTTTATTTTTATTTTTTTTTATAATAAATTAATATTTTTAATAGTCATGATTGTACCAAAGAAATGCTGTGAAAGCAAATCTCAAATGCGAACGCACCTAATCAATAATCATGCACTGACAATGAGATGTTAGTGGAGCAAGTGGCAAAACAAGGAACTCAGAAGCCCATTTGCTCCTTCGGGTGGTACCAGTGGATTGCAGGTTCGACCTCAACCCGGCCTCCCCTTCCTGCGGTGTGGACCAAAAACTGAAAAATGAGCATGCACTGAACAAGATGATATTGAACCTCCAGTGAAGAGTATGGAATAAGATTAGCCATCTGTCCCTTAATTCGACCATATATGGTCCCTTTTGTTTCAAACAATCAAATGAAACAGATGTCTATTTTCTTCGGTCCGAAGCAATAAACAAAGCACAGAAACAAGATCACTGTCAGAGGAAAAGTTACATCATTTTCTTTTACTTTCTCTAATTCATTCTTTCTACACCAGGGTTCAGACCCTCAAATTCCATGGAAAGGCAAGAGTCAGAAACAAGAAACACGTTACGATTTCTTCCTGGTTCAGGTTTCCACAAAAGGTGTCCACCTTTCTGAACACTACACCGGTCAAGTAGGTAGGTTACTTACAACCCACCTAGAAAGCGGCATATGGCTTCATTACTTCGGAAAGACTTCTAAATTTCCAATGCTTCCGCAGCCTCAAAGATTTTAAAGCTTCAAGTTGACCATGGATTCCCGTTAAGAGTGTAGGAAAAGTTGGTCACGCAAAAACACAGTTTTAATCTCTCTGTTCTTTCATAATCTCCCTACATAAACCCCAACCCTCCCCATCACTCCAACATCGTCATTTCAGGGTTTTATCAGATCAGAAGAATTCAAAGGCATCATCAAGAGCATAGAGAAAGCTAATGGCAAACATAAAGATGGCAATGTGTCTTACCATGGTTGTTGCAGCCATGCTTTGTGCAGGAGCGGCAGCTCAGTCTGGCTGCACTGCTGTATTGATCAGCTTATCACCTTGCCTCAACTATATTACTGGGAATTCCTCGACCCCTTCTTCACAATGTTGCTCGCAGCTTGCCAGTGTTGTCCGCTCCTCAGCACAATGCTTGTGTCAGGTCCTCAATGGTGGTGCTTCATCATTGGGGATAAACATCAACCGGACTCAGGCTATGGCCTTGCCTGGGGCTTGCAATGTCCAGACTCCACCCATCAGCCAATGTAATGGTAAGGATGCAGTTAACTTCTCCTTTTTCTAGTCAAGAAAACTCACAGCTAATTGCCAAAAACTGCAAGATCTCTGTATGGAATCAGTAGTCAAAATGATAACGCAAAAATTAGTCTAATTCTACTGACCAATACCACCTGTATGTTGTCAGCCACTTCTCCCGCAGCCTCTCCAGCAGGATCACCAGAAACCAGTACTACATTTCCTTCAGGTATGGAATAGTTTTGGATCCTCGGGCATTTCATTTGAATAGAACTTACAGGTAAAGTAACTTCCTGAAGGGTTGACTAAGAACAATTATATGAACTTAATGAGTGCAGGAAGTGGATCCAAAACAGCACCATTAACAAAAGAAGATGGCTCATTCATAACAGAAGGAAAGTCCACAAAGTTGTCATCTTCGCTGCTTATCTTCTTTCTCTTAGCTGCATCATATAGTTCAATCTTCACAACATACTGATTTCCTCCTGTTTCAGTGTACTTTAGTTTAATTACCATTTGGTGTAATCTTCATTTGTTAATCAGTTGTCCTCTGCCTGTGGAAGCTTTTATATTTTTTTCCTCAACCATCCCTTTAGGGATTGATTTTTGTATTACTGAAGAGAGTTCTTCTCTTCCCTTCCTAATAAAGACCATATATGATTGTTCACTGAAAGTATAATGCATGGAGGATATCAACAAACATATATTACATCCAATTACAGATCAAACAATAAATGTATAAACAATAAAATTTATAACAACAAATGACAAGTTTATGCAATGAAGGAACCAACAGCAACTCTGAGGTGTGGAGCGAAGTACCAACCAAGGTAAAGAATTAGTTAACAAGTCACTAATTCTCCGAGTGTGATACCGTCGACTGTTCTATGACTAGCATCAATACAAATTGAGAATGCATGAAGAAGCATGTTGATAACAGACCTTGTGCTTAATGGATCTGTATTGCAGAAAGAGGATTTCATGCCAGCAGATTTAGAAGAGGCTTTAGAGCTTGAACAGCATGGATGCTCATTGAAACATATCCAATAGTTGTGTAAGCATCTCCAGCTGCAAAGCATACAATGTCATTTAATATCTGCCCACATAGGCTCCATCGTGGTTACCATCACAAAACTTCAATATTCTAGCTGTTCAAGAAGACCCAAATAACTTAAGAAGCAAATTTAGGTCTAGAGGGCAATTCCATCATCAAATACAAATCATATTACAGTTGTAATTAAATGCATAAATAACCAAAAAAAAAAAGAACAATAGTCTGAAGTTCCTACAACTATTTCTTTTTCCAGTGAAGAAAACTGTTCAGAACTAAACACATTGATCAATATCCATTACCGATTCTTTGTTGACACATGAAGTGTTAACCCAAAAAATCAGCCAAATTCATTAATTGTTAATATACGATGGCTTAATATCTGTTATGGTCACCTCAAGCTTCAAGATTTAAAACATGATTTGTTGAATTAAACTTTTAAAAGTATGTCATGCTAAGCTTGAATTTAAATGCTTAACCCCCTAGACAAGTCTGAAACATCTAAGTACCCATTCACATTTCATTTGTACACTATGAAGCTAATGTACTAATACTTTGGCAAATAGTATGAAAATGGCTTGATCATTGCGTGCTTACAAGTGCACAATCATGTTGTGTCCAACAAATTTCATCAATGATCAAAATCAACTCTGGTTTTCCAAAAATGCAATTTGCTGCTAGATAGCACTCTGGTTAATGTAATAGCACTAATCTTACCTATTTTCAATATAACTTCACGTTTCATGTTGAGATAATTACCTTTTCAATCTCCAACACATAAGGAGATGACAGAACAAGAGGAAAATAACTAAATAAGAAATGATAGCTGAAGTTATTATGCTATTGAAGTACCATTTCAGTTCCACATACTTAAAGAGTTTAGCACCAGTTCATATTTCAGATGTCTTCATTGACATTCATCAGAGCAATTGAATATCTTTCTTAGCTAATGCAATATTTATGGCCATGTATGCTAGAAAAAAATTCCACCATCCCTCCCCAAATCTCATTCATTAAATCTGGCAATCAAAAAACCAATCTTACAAACACACTTCCATGTAATTTAAACATAAAAAATGGTATAGGGGTATCCCAGGGCTATGCTACTTGGTTTCTTCACTGTCACCTAATGAACCGATGTTATTAGAGTCAGAAACCTTGAACCAGGTTTGGAAGTCACTCTTGAATCCTTGAAATTGATTAAAATACCCAAAACCAGAAAAATGAAGAACCTGCTTCAAGCATGTATCATTGTCAAAGTCAAACACTTGATCCCAAGTCCAAGTAACATAGCTCTACACATACCCATCATTTAGAAAAAAAAACAAAAGAGAACTTTAATTACATTACAATGCTCTCACCAAATACTTGCCAATCAAATTGATTTCTTAGTCAAAAAAAAAAAAGGAGGTGATGATGAAGACCAATTGTCATAACCAAACAGTAGATTAAATTTACTTGAATTTTGAATGACAATATCTACCAAGGTCATACTTCATCATTGTTAAAGACGTACAAATAAATGTTGCCTAAAAGCTGAGCAGCTCAGGAATGAGATCGTGAGCGCACAAACTCTTCTAGTCTGTCCCAAAACTCCAGTGCAGCAGCCCTGTCTTGGTGTCGCTTGTTTTTGCTAATCTGCATGGTTGAAGCACATTAAAATGTAAGGAGAGAAAGTAAAGTGGAAGACACGGGGAAAAACTACTTGGTTCCACCCAATAACTCAAAGCTTTGTCAAACCAATATAAAAGTATAATGGAGGAATAAACTCTCACCGAGATGATCTTTACATTCCACTGCTTCACAGTCTTTGCTGATTCCACGCTGTCATCTTCAAACCTCATATAAAATCCAATAACTGCATAGAATCACAATGCACATTGTTAAAGTTACTAAAAATAAACCTTGATAAAAATCCCAATCCCTATACCTCTACTTGCAACATAAAACCTGAATCCCAAATCCTGTAAAAAGACAAGCAAAAAATCCTTAAACCTAAAGCATCAAAGCCTAAACTAATGCCACAAAATTGAAATTCAAAATCAACAATAATCGAATGCCACTCAAGACTCCAATTTCACTCTCAACAAGTAGACAAAAATTCAAGAAGTAGATGCATAATGAATTTTAGATAAGCCCCCCTTGACACCCGAGTTCCAGAGCACACTGAAAGAAGCCTGACTTAGAAAATGAAATTTAAAATATGTAGAGTAGAAACCAAGATAAGGAATTAAGCCCAAGGAAGTAACTTTAAACTCAAATACCAATATCTGCTAAGGTTTCCACTTACTCTTATTAAACAGCTCCACATGATCCTTAAACGGCCAATCCTTGAACTGCCACTCCTTCCCAAGGACAAAAACTGCCACCACCCGGTCCCAATCCTCAGGCTTCAACGCAGAGGGCTTATCTCTGACCTCATAAGC